CATTGATTTTTCTAATATTCTAAAATTTTTGAAGATTAAAAAAAAATTTTTTTTTATGTGTTGCACTAGATTCATTTCCAATACACCGATTGCTATTGATTTTTATAATTTTTCAAAAGATTTAAAATTTTTCGAAGATTAAAAAGTTGTATTTTCTTCTTATTATTAATATTTCGATTGCAATTGATTATTAAAGTTTTCCAAAGCTTAAGAATTTGTTCGAAGATTAAATAATCTTTATATTGCAAATATAAAAAATTTAGTTTTTTATTCAAAATTGGGAACACAAGTTTTCCAAAACTCTTTATTATCAAAATCTGGGACATCAATTAATTCCGATTTCGATAATTTTAAATTTGATCGAAATTTGTGTTAACAAAACATTTTTTATTTTGTAAAATGTAAAAAAAATGAAGTGATTTTGAGTTTTAAATCTGATTTTTTCTTAATTTTAAAAAGATAACTTTAAAATTAAATTCCAAAATTATTTTTAAAATTTGTGCATGTTGTTTTTTAACAGTTGATATATTCTATTTGAAAATCCAAAATTTTTTTTAAAATTCGCCGCTTAAGTCTCTTCTTCTTGATTGGCGTAGTCACCGCTTAAGCGATTATAGTCGAGTTAACAACAGCGCGCCAGTCATTTCTTCTTTTCGCTACGTGGCGCCAATTAGATATTCCAAGTGAAGCCAGGTCCTTCTCCACTTGATCCTTCCAACGGAGTGGAGGTCTTCCTCTCCCTCTGCTTCCCCCGGCGGGTACTGCGTCGAATACTTTCAGAGCTGGAGTGTTTTCGTCCATCCGGACAACATGACCTAGTAGGGTGGTTCTTATTTTTCAAGTACAATTTTTTTCTTGTGCTACCCCTCAATTTAGTTCCCTTTTATAAAAAAATCAGATGAGCGAAATTTAAAGTTAATCCGAGAAGTTTAAAGTGTGCCCCTTGGCCCTCAAAAATACAAAATAAACAAAAATCCAAATAAAATTTCAATTTTGTTTCTTGGTTTCAAAAACTTGTACAGAGTTATCGCCCAAATTAGGTCCGGGGAAAATTGCTTTGTTTTACTGCAAAAAGAAAGTGAAAAAGATTCGTAAAAGTATGTTCGCATTGCAGCGAAAACACGCTTTCCGTGTTTTCAGCTGAAAACCTAATTGAAAACATGGTTTTCGTCATGTGTTAACTGTCAAATGCATAGCGTATTTTCAAGATGTTTTCACCAAAATCAAAACGAAAACGCAGTTTATTGTGAATTACTAAGGAGTATTGTGAATTGAGTGGATGAAAATAACTATTTACAGTAAATATTGACGGTTATTGTGCGTTTTTTTTAAATTTTGGGTGTGCTTCGTGTATTGTGAATTGAGTGGATGAAAATATCAGTCTCCTATAACATTCGAAGTGAACACATACGGTAGCACAATGTCAACTCCTAGATTACGAGAGAAAATTTATCTTCTTGGGCATTACTCGAATGAAATTGTTGGAAGTAAACTGCCATCGGTGAAACAAGTGTTAAACGTTTTCTTTTTTAATTTGCGAGTGTGTAAGTTAACTGTACGGGGAAGTGCCTCACTAGCTGTGCGGGAAGCGATGATATATTGGGAAAAAGCACGAATTCCGACGCAAGAGTTAAAGAATTGTATACCAAAGTTGGAAGGTCTGTATCAACAATTTAGGCAACTTCAAAAACATGCTGGAAGATTGTCGGAGGTTCATAAGAAAAAAGAAACAGATTTCCTTGAAAAACTTGAGGACCTTTTTGATATAGAACACGCCAATGCTTTGAGTATCATTACCGTTGAAGAAGATAAACAGTTCTTAATCAATCAGCGGTTGAGAGGACGGCCAGGGTTTATGTATGGAATTGATTACCAGCTAATTGCGAAAGAAGCACGAGTTTCTGAACGAAAAATGCAAGAGATGAAGAGGAAAAAGCGAAGCGATCATGAAATGCAACAACTGAGTAAGTATCGATTGTGTATATAAATATTTATGGATTTATATAGTTTTCATTTGATTAAACTTTTTAATTTTTTCAGCTCAACCTGCTATGCTCATGACGTCTAGTTTAAGCAGTAGTGAAGATTTAGATTTCTGTGATTTGGAGGAAGTTCCGCGAGTCTCAAAAGATTTATCACCACAGGCAAAAAGGAAAAGGGGGCGTCGAACAATAATCACTCCTAAGCTTGCTGCTGCCTTGGATAAGTGCAAGATCAGTGACAGGAATGCTGTTCATATTCTGGTAGCTGCCATCGAAGCGCTTGGTTATAATGTTGAAAATTTCGCTATCAACAGGTGCTCTATTCACAATTTTCGAGAGAATCTTCGCGAACAAAAAGCTGCTGAAATCAAAAATATTTTCAAGGATAGGAAATTGCACGCTGCTACCTTGCATTGGGATGGTAAACTACTTCCAGCATTAACGGGAAAAGAGACCGACTTCTGTAATTCTTTCAAATTGTGGTACTAATCAACTTCTTGGTGTACCTGCATTGCAATCGGGGAATGGATAAGAACAAGCAACAGCTGTTTGTGAAACTCTTGCGGAATGGGGCCTTCAGGATTACGTAAAAGCATTAGTTTTTGACACAACAGCGTCAAATACAGGCGCTTTTAAAGGTGCATGTGTTTTGATTGAAAACTTTCTGGAAAAAGTTCTCTTGTATTTACCCTGCCGGCATCACATGTACGAGATAATTTTAAAAGCAATTTATGAGGAAAAGATGGGGAAAACTACAGGCCCAACTGTACCAATATTAAAAAAGTTCCAAACTGCTTGGTCTGGAATTAACGTTAATAATTTTAAAACCGGAATCGAGCATGAAAAGGTCAAGGAAAATTTGGATCCGGTCGATGTATCTCGAATTCTTGATTTTGTACAAGACGTTTTGCAAGAACAACATCCCAGAGAGGATTATAGAGAATTTTTAGAATTGACTGCTATTTTTCTTGGCACAACACCGCCTCGTGGAGTGTGCTTCCGAGTACCAGGGGCTATCCATCATGCAAGGTGGATAGCAAGGTTTCGCGATGAATTTAAGTTATCACCACATGAAGAAAATGCTATTTGTGATATTTGCATTTTCCTAATCCGTGTATATGTCGAAGCGTGGTTTTGTGCTCCTTCTGCAGCCAAAGCCCCGTATTTACATTTCAGTGTTCTTTCAACACTTTATAAATATCAGAATATTGATAGTGACATCTCCCGTGTGGCTTTACAAAAAATTAAAAATCATTTGTGGTATCTATCTCCTGAACCCATCGCCTTGCCGTTCTTTGACTCTAATTTGTCTTCTGAATCGAAAAGAAAAATGGTCAGTGCACTATATCGTGAAGCAGATATATCAGAAGAAAATACCAAAAAGATTAATGTGCAAATAAATCAAATTCCAGAAATAATGAACAATGGAATCAAACAATTTGTTTCTAATAAAACAAGGAAATTTTTCACTAGATTCGATATAAGTGACGAGTTCCTTAACATAGATCCTTCGCAGTGGCACAAAAATGAAGATTTCATTAATGCTCTAAATCTAGTTAAGAAACTGAAAGTTGTAAACGAT